CCAACCTGCCAGAGAGGCACACCTGTGACTGTTTATTTCATAAACATTTATTAAACACTGCTCAGTCTTAGCTCTCCACTGGATTTCAAGATAAATACAGGTCCTTGTCCTCAAAAAGCAACAGGCTGCAGAGAAGCCGGAAACAGGTGATCAATGCCTGCGGGCGGAATAAGAGGGACTGACAGGTCTCTGCAAATCAAGTAGAGTTCTCCCTGCTGGGAGCCCCACAGGGGAGGGACTCAACCTGGGTGGGAAGACCAGCTGGGCACAGTGGGAAAGGCAAAGGAACTCAGAGGCTCATCCTAGAAGTTGCAAGTGTTTCTGCAGAGTCAGACACTGGTGAGAATGGAGCTCTCAGAATCAGAGAGGAGAGGCCAGGAGAGAACATGTGTTTGCGGAACACAGTTCATGATGGACGGAGCAACAGTGTTCAAGCTCTCCCTAACCCTGAGTTACTTTTTTTTCTTTCTTTCTTTCTTTCTTTTTTTTTTTTTTTTTGTGTGTGTGTGCCAGGAATTGAACCCAGGGGCACTTAACCTCTGAGCCACATCCTCAGTCATTTTTATACTTTATTTACAAACAGGGTCTCACTGAGTTGCTTATTGCCTTGCTAAGTTGCTGAGGCTGGCTTTGAACTCTCAATCCTCAGCCTCTGAGCCACCACCACGCCTGGTGAGTTACTCCATTTTCATAAAACAGTAGTTTGCCATGAGTTACTCCATTTTGAGTACTAGTGCCAAGGTAGAAACTACTCTGTACCTAGTTGGTGTAAGTAAACAACCACTATCTACCTAGCACAACCATAAGGCAGAAGCTGATAAATTAATCATGCTAATAAAAATAACCACCTGTGAACTTATTAACTTAATCAGAAGCACATGGATGCATGGGTATATCAACTCCACATTGGAAACATCAGGCCCGTGAGCTTATCAAACACACCAGACCCCTGCATGAAGCAACCCCCTTGCCCAAGGGCCGTAAGAGGAGGAGCACCATCGCGATACTGGACACGTTGGCACTCGAACCCCATCGCTGGTCACTCATCACTAGCCTTGTTCAGGAAAGTCACCATAGCAACAAACCTCTGGTTCTGTCCCTCCTGGCCTCAGCACAGCATGGTTTCACAAGTCCACAAAAACCATGCATCGCCTACTCCAAACCGAGGTGTCAAGCTGACACTCTGAAACCTCAGCCTGTCAGACTCTGGCCTAGAACAAGTTTTGCACTTTGCAGCTCTGACCACCTACAGTGACTCTGCAAGACCAGGCTCTCTGCCTTGGCTCTCAGTTCAGTGCCCCTGAGCCCCTACAGTGCTGTAACCCTCTGTTGTGTGTGTGTGTGTGTGTGTGTGTGTGTGTGTGTGTGTGTGTGTGTGATGTGTGACTTGAATGTTTTTATGATTGGAATTATGTCATATGTCATTATGATTGGAATAAAAGAACTTGTGATTGCTCTGCTTATGACTCCCATGTGACCCATGAGTACTTGGTGACCTGCCGCTGCTGAAAGAAGTGTAGCCTGTGAATTTTTTGTTATTCAGGTAATTCTGACACAGATGTTTTGGTGTATGTTACTGGCATAGTTCACTCCCCACACACCTGGTGACGATGACAACAAAGAGCACTGCCAGGTGTCGGGACAGCTCTGCGCATCTGAGTGACCCACTCCTCACAAAGACACCATGGGTGGGGACTATTTTTACTCCTCCTTTACCCATGGTGGAACTGAGGCACAGAGTGACCCAGGCTCAGGGTTTGGCTCCACTGTCTGCTCTCTGAGCCATGCTGAACCACTCAACAATGGGCTCTGTGTCTTCACATGTGATTTTATTTTCTGTTTATAGCAATGTGCACATGCGAAAGGCCCCCAAGCCAGAGTGACAGCAACCTTACCTGTTTGTGTGATTCTTCTTGCTGCACTGGAAATGGAGCCCAGGGCCTCTGGCGTGCTCAGCAAGCTTGCTCCTACTGAGCTCCCCACCCCAGCCCTCCAGCCATTTATTAACTGTGAGCTCTGGGAAAATGATCTAATCACTGGGTGCCTCATTTCCTCCTCTGAAAACCAAGAGAAACCTAGAGTTGAGTTGTCATGGGAGTCAAAGCATTTGGGCTGCTGTGTGGAGAATGGGCTGGGGTGGGGGGGCACAGGGAGCAGGAGAGTAATAAGAGGACACTGTGAACGTCAAAGCCAGGGTGGCTTCAGCCACGGAGAACAGGGAAAACTGTACTTCACTCACAGGGCTGTAGTGGAAAGGCAATGAAATAATGAAATAAGGCCTCAAATAGGTGCAGAAGTCTCCCTCATAAATGCCTCTCATTTTAAAAATTATGGATCATTTCAAATATATACAAAAGTAAGAGAATAGATAACCCCGTCAACCAACTGCAACAATTTCAAGGCTCAATCTTATTTCACCTGATGCCTCCGTTCTCTTCCTCCCATATTATCCAGATGTGAATCCCATACTTCATCTCATTTCCTCTGTAAGTATCTCAGTTTGTATCTCTAAAAGAGAAGGACTCTTTTAAAAAAACATAATCAGAATACCATTATCACACTTAAAAGTTAATAATTTTTAATATCAGATGCCCAGACAGCGCTCAAATATCCAGTTGTCTTAGAAGTATCATATATTTTCAAAAGATTTTCCCAACCAAGATCTAGATAATGGCCACAAATTACAATGGACTGATGTTTGTTTGTTTGTTTAGTGGCACTGGAGATTGAACCCAGGAGCAATACTTTGAGCCCTAAATTGCTCAGGCTGGCCTTGAACCTGGGATCCTTGCCTGAGGCTCCCAAGTCACTAAGATTATAAGGGCAGCTAAAATTATAGGGGTGCATCCCACCATGCCTTATTGCCTTTTAAATATTATTATTATTATTTTATACTGGGGACTGACCCAAGACCACATGCATGCTAGGCAAGCATTCTACACTGAGCAATATCCACAGCCCTTAAACCTCTTTTAGTCTATAGATCCTCTATTTTCTCTGGAGGTTTGTTAAAAAGAAGGGAGTCCCCTCCCCTGGAGTTTTCTACAGCCCCGGTTTGCAGATTTGCGCTTCTGTCCTCTATACTTCCTGCTGGATCTGGAGTCCAGGTCAGATCAAGGTGGTCCTAGGTCTACCAGCAGGAGGCGCTCGGTGGCTGCTTATCTTTTGGGGATATTAGCAGCCATTAACGACCAGCCTAGATCCATTAACCCACTAGGTTACAAAATGATGATATTTTAATTCTATCATTCTTTCTCAATTTATTAACTGGAATGTTTCTAAAGAGAAAACTTTCCCTCGCCCTCTCTCTGGTTACCTGGTGACGTGGTTTATGTGGTACTGGCATGATAAATGCTCACACGTTCCCTGTAGTTACCAGTTTTCAAAATAACAATTTGATTTCCTAATATCCTTCAATGGTGACCTATATTAGTTTCTTTAAGGTAACAACATAAACTTTGTGAAACATGTTTGATGTACTTCAGTCTATGGCTAGTAGTAGTAATACTAGTGCCTAAATGGTCCCATCATTTAGCGCATGGGACCCTCTTTAAAATGGCTCCTGCATATTTCTGACAGGACTTTTGTCAGAGTCCAGTGTGGTAAGACTTCCAGGTTCATCCCATGACCCTCCTGCCCTGGATATGGGGTCATCATTCCCTCAAGGATACTGGGATCCTTTGAGTGCGGATGGTTTTACAAGACGACAGGCCGGGTCACTACAGCTGGCTCACTCTTTATTTCTAGGCCATTTCAATGGACAGACTTGGGAACTATGGTGTGTACGAGAGGGAGAGAGAAAAACAACATCTTTATTGAAGTATAATTTATATATGAGAAAGCACTTAAAGTACACGGGGTATATAAGTCCAAGAGCCTTCACTGTGATGGGGCATTTCCCTCACCCCAAGTTCCCCTAGATCTCTCTGTAATCCCTTCCATCCTCTGTTAGACCACGACACAAAGAAAAGACCACCAACTCCAATTGAAATCAAATTAAAGCAAGCTTGTAATTCCGACCAGCCGGGCTGCCTCTCCTGAAAACCGCGGGAACAGAAGACAGCCCTGCAGCTCTCCAGGAGCACAACTTTATACCCCAGAAAGTTACACACAGGGGGGTTTGAGAACTTACCGTTAACAAAATTTTGACAAGCATAGCACAAAGGCTAGTTGATATTTTAGCTGGCCCCGACATCAAAATTTATGGGGTCATTAGAGTTTCAGAGAGGGATGCTATCTGGTCAGAGAGCCAGGCATGGGTGAGTCCAAGGCCCGGGTAGGCATTCCAAGCAAGTGCAGAAATCGCAGTAATTTATAGTAAAGCCGAAATTAGCTTTTTATGCCTTTGTGGTGAGATGGCTCCCAATCTTAAGGGGGAATTAGGCTGTGTTTATCCCTTTCCCTTTGAGCCCCATTTATTAGGCAAGAGGTTTTTTTTTTTTTCTACATTTTTATTGGTGCATTATAGTTGTGCACAACGATGGGATTTGGTGTTACATATTCATTATGCGCACACAAGATAATTTGGCCACTGTCATTCCCTAGTACTTCTCCCCTCTTTCCCTGCCTCCCATCCTATTTTATCTTTATTTTTCTCTCTCTGAAAGCATTATGTATTTATTGGCTTTCACATCCTTCGTCCTCCTCCTGATTGGCAGCACTCTGCAGTTGGACTGCGGCTCTCTTCCTCAGTATTCCCAGGGCCCAGTGCGGGGAGGGCACAGAACAGACACTTAGCGCACTGCCTCAAGCCCTCCAAGCCCCGGTTCCTCCTGGGAGAGGGGGAGAGGTGGCAGCACCTACCTCGGAGTGTTGCCAGGAGGGGAGACTGAGAGAAGGTTTACAGAGGACTAGGGGAGCACTCGGCAGCCGGTGGTGCTCACTTACTCTTATTGTTATATGATAACACCTGTTCCTTCAACTATTATTAATACATAGATAAATGAAAGCATTAGTAAATACATGTCTAAATGAAGGAGGTGAATTAACTTCCACTCAAATCCTGACTTCAGCCCACAGTAGGAGTGAACTTTAATGTTATTCTTTGTCTGGTGGATTGGGAATGATTGACGTGTCCCAAATCACAGTACTAGTTTTCTGTTTCGCCGTTTCTTGTCTAGACGGAATTCAGCAGCCTTCACCCGTAAAGATTTTCTCCGTTCTTGGGCTCGATGCCCTTGAACTGTAAGGAGAGAGGCTGAAGACGACTAGTTCATTTTTCTGCATTGTTTTTGACCTCTTGGGGATTTCTGCCTCTCTGTAGAGGAACATAAAGACAGACAAATGGATTAAAATGCCAGTATGAGGGCTAGGGTGTGGCTCAGTGGTACAACATTTGCCTAGCATTGTGAGGCATTGGGTTGGATACTCAGCCCTGCATATAAATAAGTAAAATAACGGTCCACCAACTAATAAAAATATTTTTAAAAATAAATTTTAAAAATTTAAAAATCAGTGTGATCTTTTAAGAGGATTTATTCCTAACTTCACATGTAAGTACAGAGAGGCAACATTCTAAAATGTAACATAATTTTTTTTTCTATAAGCAATTAAAGGAAGTGGAAGGCTAAGCACACAGCAACTGATAATTTCTTCACTAAGAATTCCTGGATCCCAGCCACAGAAGTGGGCATCGGGGACTTGACCTGGGATGAGACAAAGTCCCAGAGGTTGAGAGACTCACTATACAGAGAGGCGACAGACAACTCCACAACCACAGTCAGATATATTCTGTGGGGCAAGTGCAGGAAATGCAGAGCACAGAACAGGCGTCTGGGTGGGCTTCCTGGAGGAGGTGTTGCCTGAGCTAGGCTTCCAGCATTGGGAAGGAGTCAGCCAGTGACAAGTGACTGAAACACACTCTAGGGAGGGGAAGGAGCAAGGACCCCTGGGAGCTCAGAGAAGGTCCGATACCTGTCAGGGACGGTCACCTGGGAGGAGACCTCAGCACTCTCTGAAGAAGCGGGAGCTGCAGGCCCAAAAGCCCTGGGCAGAGACAGCTGAGGCGAGGAAGGAGAGGAGAGCAGGGGCCACCTCATGAAGAGTGTGGATTTTGTCATTAGGGTCCCGAGAGGAATGAGGACAAACTGGGTTTTAAGTAGAGGAGTAGTGGGATTGATATGGATTTTGGTTTGTTTTTGTTTCCTTGCTTTTGAGACAAGGATCTTGGGGTCTGGCTCTGAATTGGGCTCCAGCGATCCTCCTGCCTCAACCTCCCAGTGGCTGGGGCTGCAGGGGTGTACTGCCCCAGGCTGAGATGTGCATTTTGGGAGGACCTCTTTTGACACTGGGAGACCTAGGAGGAGCCTGGGTCTGGACCACCACAAGTCTCAGATCCCCTGAGAGCCTGAGAGGAGAAGACAGACTCGCCCCACAGGCCCCTTCTGAGCGTGCAGCAGCTCAGGGCCAGGGTCACTTCCCTTCAGTTTCCCTCCAGTGTTCACTGTGCGAAGAGCAGATGCTGGACTCTAACTTCCTACAAAAGGTCTGGGTCACCAGTCCTCAGGGACTTCTGAAAGGGGTCTAGAGGAACATTTTTGGATCCATTCTGTGCCTGGTCTAAATGTCAAGCCCGAGGCACGTGGAGGGCTCTTCCCTGTGGGTGAGAGTTTGTGCGTCTTCTGACGCTTCACCTTTCTGGGCCCAGCACTGGGTTGGCAGCAAGCTAAGCCCTGGGAGCAGAGGAGGCGTTAGTTCCTGGTCCCAGAGAACCTCAGAGTTCTGGGCGGGGCCCTCAACCACACACCCAGGGATTCCTGGAAGAAGGGACGTAAGAGGCTTTGCAAAGACTATGAAAATAAAAACAACCATGTAATGCTTATCATTGCCAGGCCTAGGCAAGACTCTATGCAGTTTAGATTGTTTTACACCTAACAACCATCCACAGGAAACAAGTCCAAACAAAAAACTTAGAAAATTTGTCCTCAAGTCATGGGGCAAATAAAGGGTGGGGCAGGGAGTCAAGCCTTAGAACCTTTTAGAGTCAAAGCTTCCTCAGCTCCACCTTTTTCTGTGGGGGAATCCAAAAGGGAGCCCTTTCCCTGCTTGTTTTAACTGGGGCTCAGGCAGAGCAGCCGCTCCACCCACAAGGTGGAGCCATTGAGTTGTTGGGGGGAAGAAACTGAACCTTTTCCTTGCCTATTTTTAAATCACCCTTTTAATTTTCTAAATTTCTGTATGTTTTATAGCTTACACAGTGTATTAGTACAGAAATAATTGTATATGCTCTCTTTTAAAAATTTTTTTAGTTATAATGGACACTACCTTTGTGTGTTTATTTTTTTATGTGGTGCTAAGGATTGAACCCAGTACCTCATACGTGCTAGGCAAGTGCTCTACCACTAAACTACCGTCCCAGCCCTGGTATATGCTCTCTTAATAATTAATATATTTAGGGACTGAGGGACACAAGAGCAAGAAAGCCTGAGTATTCCTGACTGAGAGACACAGACCAGGTATCCCGTAAAGGTAAATATTTGTGGGAGATTTTACAAGTTCCCAAAACATACATATAAACTCCCCCTTCAGCATCCTTTTTTTGGTGGGGAGAGGGGAGAGTTCCAGGGACTGAACCCAGAGACACTTAACCACTGGGCCACATCCCCAGCATTTAAAATTGTTGCAGGGTCTTGCCAAGTTGCTTAGGGCTTTGTTAAATTGCTGAGGCTAGCAATCCTCCTGCCTCAGCCTCCTGAGGGGCTGGGATCATAGGTGTGCACCACCATGCCCAGTTACCTTCAGGACTTTCCAAAAGCCAGATTTGTCCCGGGGACTCAGGAGACTGAGATGGGAGGATCGTGAGTTCAAAGCCAGCTTCAGCAAGTTCGTGAGGCCCTAAGCAATTCAGTGAAACTCTGTCTCAAAATAATAATAATAATAATAATAATAATAATAATAATAATAATAGGGCTGGGCCTGTGGCTCAGTGGTTAAATGCCCCTGGGTTCAATCCCCAGTAACAACAAAAAGCTAAATCTGACCACAAGATTCCCACTTGTCACCTTTCAGAGGCCCCCCACACTTGGAAACCCTCATGGCCGTGCCCCCTGGCAGTTCCTCACACAGTAGCTGGCCTCCTCCCAGCTGGCCCTGCCCTGCTCTGCCAGCCCCTTCCCTCAGGCTCTCCTTCAGCCCCACCCACACCTTCCCTCTGTCCTAGACATCACCCCTTCAATGGCTTCTGCTTGGCTCCTGGGCCTCTGCTCTGTTCCCGGCTGCCCACGGCCACCTCCCTTGGGTCCTTGGCCTTTCACTTGTTGATACACCTGCCTTCCCGCCACCAGCCCCTGGGGAGCAGGATGACCTTAACCGCTCCCTAGTCCCCACTGTCTACAGCAGGGAACCTGCAGGACCCCTCTCGGCCTGGGTTTGTGCTGCTCGGATGCCACCTGCCTCAGGAGAGGTCCACCTCCACACCAGGTATGTCCGCACCAGGCTGCCGGCTTGGAAAATGATAAAGGAGCTGAGGTCATCACACCCTGTGGGGGCTGTTTTCATCTGGAGGTTGAACCCAGGGACTCATGGGCTGGGTGGGCTGGGCAAGCGCTCTACCCCTGAGCTGCACCCAGCCTGGCGTGCTCTGAGGGACACTGTCACATGTAACATTTTAAATAAAATAATGAGTGAAAGTGAATATATGAATAAATGCGGTGCCCCGTGCATCCAATGCCCCCTTTTGCTCTCCTCTTGGCCCAGAAAAAACTACAATGTGGAGGGCAGGGACTTTCCATTTCTCAGTCTTTGGGCACAGAGTCTTTTTCCTCGCACTCCAACCCACCTGTTAGCAGAAATATCTTGGGCGTTGTAGGGATTTCCTACTTCCAGGGGATATGGGTCCTCAGGACTTGGAAATAAGAGAGGAGAGTGGTTAAACTTCAGCTTCTCTTCTCTTTCCCTCCTGTGGGAAAACAAGACATCGACAAAAACTGGTTAAGAAATTCACTGTGACTTCTCCAAAGGGTTCGCTGGAATCTTGATAGTGTTGAGAGAAAAAGTTTGCAGATCTGTCAATGATGGTGGCAGAAGAAAATAACTGAAGTGCTTTAAGCAATACCCAGTGCCCCTCGTTCTGCTTCTAGGAGTGCCAGGCCCTGGCCTAGGCCCTGGAGAGACAGGGGCATCCAGGACGAGGTTCCTGACTTAATGACAATCCCACAAGAGGTGGGCGAGCAAATCTATGACTAGAGCAGAACATTTCAGGAGAGCACAGGGGATATGATGGGCCACCGAGTGGGTGGTCAGGGAACTTCCCGGAGGAGAGGGTGGCTCAGCTGGTTTGAGGGCCAGGTGAAGAAATGGCTGAAGGATGGTCAAGTTGGAGGGAAGAGCAATAATATTGGTGAATTAGTTGACTTTTCTGTTTCCAAGAATCTAAAATGGATAATAGAAAGTCTGTTTTTTTGGTTTTTTTTGTGTGTGTATGTGTGTGATGCTGGAGGTTGAACCCAGGGCCTTGTGCATGTGAGGTAAGCACCCTACCCACTGAGCTATGTCCCCAGTCACAGAAGATCTGTTTTTAATGATCCACTGCCAATCCTGTAAGATTTCTTGACTCAAGTTAACCTGCTCTAATAAAGAAAAAATTGTGGTCTTTGCTCAGTTCAGAGGAAAAAAAAAAATGGAAGTTTTAGGATTACAAGGTTTCCGTGGGCAAGATTTTTAACCCTGTTAAGTTTTGATTCTTCATCTCAAAAACGGATAGTATAACACCATCTACTGGTGACGGAGACGGTTACCAACCCACTGGCCAGACTCCCCTTTTTCTTTCTTTTCTCTTCTGTTTTGTGGTACTACAGATTGAACCAGAGGTGCTCGACCACTGAGCCACTTCCCCAGCCCCTTTTTAAACTTTACTTTGAGACACAGCCTTACTAAGTTGCACAGACTGGTCTAGAATTTGTGATCCTCCTGCCTGGGCCTCCCAAAGTAACTGGAATCAGGTGTGTACCAGCTCACTCTCCCTCTTTTCTTTAGCAAACAAGGCAGTTTTTGAGATGGCAATGGGTCCAGATTTTTTTTTAAGCTGAAAAAAAAAAAAAAAAAACCCTAAAACAAAAACCCTACTTTTCCAGCCTCTCTTGCAGCTATCACCATGTGACTGACCGCTGGCCACTGAAACGAAGTGGTGATGTTACACACATAGGGAGGGTCCTGGGGACGGAGGCAGTGACAGAGACTGACTGAATGGGCAGGAGGCATCTCTCTGAGGGGATGGGAAAGCTGCCCCAGCCACAGCCAGGGGTGGGTCCTGCACCTGTTGGCGGTGACATGCGCTGGTGCAGCTGAAAACCTGTACTGCTCGCTGACGCTCTGCATCCACCCTGCAGCTCCAGGTGTGGATCTTCAGAATGTTACTTGCTGGGCTACAGGATGGGGACTGTCCCCAGGAGCCCTGAAGGCCTGCCTTTAGTAGTTGACGAAAGCACCGTTCTTCTTTTTGGGCTCACTGCCCTCCTTTCTACAGAACATGCTGAGACTCAAAAGAGAAATCACAAAACAAATTTAAAAGTATTTTGAGATGAAAACAACACAACACAACAAAATTGATGGCCTGAAGCAAAAACAGTGCTGGTGGCTCAGCCGGTTTGAGGACCAGGTGAAGAAATGGCTGAAGGATGGTCAAGTTGGAGGGAAGAGTTGGAGGGAAATTCATAGCCACATTTTGTGAAGAAGAGAGATCTCAACAACAACTTCATTCAAGGACTAGAAAAGAAGAGTAAACCAAACCCAAAGCTACCAGAAGGAAGGAGCTGATAAAGAGTAGTGCCAAGAAGGTGAATAGAGAATTAAAAAAAATAGTATATATTGTATTATGTGGTGCACGCCTGTGATCCCAGGGGCTCAGGAGGCTGAGGCAGGAGGATTGTGAGCTCTAGCAACTCAGTGAGACCCTGTCTCTAAATAAAATACACAACAGGGCTGGGGATGTGGCTCAGTGGTCCAGTGCCCCTGAGTCCAATCCCAAGTACCCCCCTAAAAAATAGGGTCAATTAAACAAAATGCTAGTTATTTTCAAAGACCAACAGAATTAACAAACCTTTGGTTCAACTGACTACAAAAAGGAGGAGGAGGAGAAGGAATAAGAAAATTCAGAAATAAAAAGAGGAACATGACCCTGATCTTACAAAAATAAATCAGTTTATAAGAGAATATGAATGTTAATAAGTAAACTCAAATGAAATGAAAAATTCCCAGCAACATACAAACTTCCAAAAGTGACTCAAGAAAAAAATAAAAATTCTGTATAGAGTTATAAGAAAGAGGACTGAACCGGTAACAAAAACCTTCCAAAAAAGAAAAGTCTAGGATCATGTGACTTCACTGGTGGATTCTACCAGAGACGAATTAATACCAATTTTCAAAAAATAGAAGAGAAGTACTTCAGAACCCATTTCATGAGTCCTGCTTAGTTCCAGAAAAACAGAACTAGGAAAATGAAGGGAAGGACACTATCAAAGAAATGATAAAAAAAAAAAAAATTTACATACTTGAAGGACACAACCTTCCAGAACCCCACTGGAACACACCAATAAAGAGGTTGGTGCCAGGTCTGGTCACTGTGAAACCTCACCTGCTAGGGATAGAGACGACATCCTCAGAGCTCCCTCGGGGTGGGGAGGTGACATAAAATCCATAGGAATCAGAATGGCATCAGACTTCCCAACAGCACAAGTAGGAGGTGGGAAGAAAGGTCAAAATTCTGTGGCAAGTAGATTTGTATTTTAGAATTTTATTCCCAGCAAAATAGTTAACAATTATTTTTTTAATATTTTATTATTTTTTTTATTTAGTCATAGTTGGACACAATGCCTTTATTTATTTTTATGTGGTGCTGAGGATCGGACCCAGGGTCTCATGCGTGCGAGGAGAGTGCTCTACTGCTGAGCCACATCCCCAGCCCGTTAACAATTATTAATTAAGAAAAAAACACACACTGGACTTGAGAGACTGGGAAAATTGACTGCATACTTTTTCTTCAGGAGCTACTAGACAGATATGGGGCCCGAAAACAGTGACCCCAACAGGTCAAATTGACGGGGGGGAAGTGGCAGGTGAGGGAGAGAAAAGTCCCGAGTGGTCCGAGTGGTCGGCTGGAGCTCACCTGCAGCCACAGGCCACCAGGAGGAGGTCAGGACCTGAGAGAGAACTGTGGGACCAACTGAATCAAGGAATAAACCCGTGGCATATAGGATGCGTTTGAGAATATGGAAAATAACCTTGCTTGGCTTTTGATAGCTTTTAGCAATCCAAAAAATATCTAGAGATAAGGCCTAAAATGAAAAAGGAAACACAAACTACATGTGTAAGCATGTTATTTAGACAACAGAGGAGAATCCCAGAAAAGCCGCCAAGGGGGTGGTAATCACGGTGGGGAGGGTGGCGGGGAGGGGAGGGCAGGGGCTGCTGTTGGGCCTCAGAAGCTGGACGGGATTGCTTGATTCTTAGAGTCCACCTGCACGTATTTGTTTGACAAAAACAAAATGTTGATCTGACTGCTACTCCTGTTAGAGCTCTTGGAAGACTGCCCAGGGGCTCCAGAGGGTGTGGCCTATGGCCTCCTGCTGCCCTTCATTCCCTCCTGTCCTTCCATCAGCCACACCCAGGGGCGAGCTCTTCAAACTGCCCCCTGATGAGCAAAGATCTGCACTCTGTGCAGAAGAGCAGGGACTTCCTGGGACTTTCGGGGACTTCCTGGGACTGCCTGGGAGTTTCGCATTTGTACCTCATGTTAACTATTCACAGCTTTGTGTCCCCTTCTAGAATGGGAGCCCTTGAGGTCAAGGACTTGAACCCTAACCCTAACCCTAACCCTAATCCTAACCCTTATGTCTTTGTATCCTTGGAACCTGGCATGGCTGGTCCTCCCTGAAGTTTTTCTTGGCTTCTCCGGGCCTCAATTTCCTATTCAGTAAAAATGGAGGTGATAGCATCAAATAGCATTTGAGGAGCTATAAATAAAATAAAATGGGCAAGTTGTCTCGGTCACCCATTCTACCCCGTGTCATCGACTGTGCACAGTGGCTCTCCTCACTGTGGGCCAGGCGCTGTCAGGAGGTCCAGGGGCCTAGTGCCTGTCAGAGGCAGCTTGAAAAAGAAGTCAGCACACAGAGGGAGGAGGCCGAGAGAGTCAAGGACGGAGCACCTGAAAATGTCGCGGAGCCCCCTTGGGTGGAATGTGCTGTGTAGGCCGCTTGGAGCCGGCTTCCTAGCATTTGTGACCAAAGAGCTCTGATCCATACAGTTCATAAAGTACAAAGCCAGACACAGCAGTGCACGCTGCCACCCCAGCTACTGAGGAGGCTGAGGCAGGAGGATCATGTCTGAGGCCAGACTCAGCAATTGAACAAGGTCCTGTCTCAATATAAAAAGGCTGCCGTCCTAGAACACACCTGGATTCCGCCCCCCAGTGCAGGAAAAAAGAAAAAGAAAGCAGTTCATAAAGTAAACAGCCAGTGCTCCACACAGAAACGCAAAACCATTGGTAGCTTTTACCATCACTTGGAAAATTGAAAAAAAAAAAATCACTCTAGAGTGAATAAAACATAAAAGAAAGTGAACTTTTATGTGCTCTTTCCCTCACTGGGAATTCCTGCACTTTCCCCCCAGTTTTTGTTTGAACAAACCTTAAAAGAAATGCATCTTCCTTGAAAACGCTCCCTTGGAGTCTCCTCCGGGGCTCCTCGGGGCGGCAGCCGGGCGCAGGTGGGAGGAAGGCAGAGGCCTTTTTTTTATCTGCTTCTTTTTTATCGATGTTTGTCACCTCCCTGCAGGAAAATAACAACACACATGGCCAAGGAGGACACAGGCGGTGTGGTCTTTGGGCAAATATTTACAAGCTCCTTAGCCTGCCAGGAACATTGGCTGAAACCGCGTTGAGCACAGCAATGACCCAGTCACTGATACCAGACCCCGGGCTCCATGGGGAAAGAAGGGGTCCAGTACTCAGGGACCATAAGGCTCAAATTATAGACTGGTAAGAAGCTAGCATTGAACTTGGCCTAAACCAGTGGTAATTCCAACAATGGGGATCTTTCCCCAAGCCCCCCCAAGGGTCACTGTGCCCTGAGTCTAGTGACACAGATGTGTTTTAAGGTGACCACTGTGTATCTGCAGGCAAAACTTTGAGCATCACTTTATCAGTACAAAGTGCACTGGGCTTTATCCTGAGCTACACCTTATCCAACAAAGAGCAGGGGTATTTAATGATGAAAGTGCTGATGAGCAGGGATTCAGCCAGCGGAAACAAGGGTGCACTGGAGCTGGAGAGCCTGCTGAGGACCTGACATCCCATCACTTGTCATCCTTCCCGATCCTCTGTGTGATCCTCACAGCTCCAAACTCTACCCTGGTGAGAGCCGCAACTTCTCCCCGCGACCCTCTCCTCAGCCGGCCGTCCACTCCACGCCAGGGAAAGCCTGCCTTGTTCCGGACCTGGTCACCGCGGTCGGAGTGAGTGGGCACCTGCTGGACGTAAAGCCTAAGGCTTGAGACTTCTGAACTCAGCACGAGAGGGAATGTCTGTCACGAGCCTGTCATGATTAAGTGTGTCTGCGCCAAGCCCCAAGAAAACTTTTAAAAGTCCAGGTCAGTCTCTGCAGTTGAGGAGTTCCCATTCTACCCCAGGAGAGCTGAGGATGCTCGCGCCGGGGAGAAAGCCAGCCCTGCCCTCGGTGCAACATGATGTGCTGCAAGGGACAAGGGCTGGACCCGTGGCCCGCCCAGAAGCCCCTCCAATACCTCAAGAAGTTGTCCTGCAGTTCATTTAGGTAACTATTGAAAGAATTCCATTCCTTCACGTGAAACTCGATCAGCTTGCTGAGTTTTTCCTTTCGCATCTTCATGTTTTTCAGGGTTAAGTTGATGACATCGGCGTACGTCGGGGTGGACTCGGTGGTTTTTATGGTCAAGGAAGACCCTGTGCTGTTGGACTGTGTTTGTGTCTTGCATTTTTAGAGGTTTGAGCCTGATGTGTGGGCTGAGGCAGCTGGGATGGCAGAGCCGGGGAACACCCTGGGCTCTGGACAGGACAGCTGGCGTCTGAGCAGAGGACTTACGGCCATGGTCTGCTCGGGAAGGAAGAGGCTCTCCTCAGCTCTCTCCTTGGAGCCAGTCCTCTCTGCCCTGATGAAGAAATGGGAGAGGCAGCACTTCTTAGGCCACCTGGGATCCTTAATGTGCTCACCTGGTGGACAGGAAGGGCTCAGGCCCTCGTCTCCCTCTGGCCACGGCTCCATGCTCCACCTCCTGTCACATGCTGAAGAGCCTCTCTGCTCCACATGCCCTCCAGGCCCACTCTTTTCTGTGACGTTGAGGATTAAACCCAGGGCTCGTCCCCAGCCCTCCTCCATCCCTCCTTCTTCTTTTTTTTTGGGGGGTGGGGGCCGTGCTGGGGATGGGAGGTGTCCTGCATGCTCAGGTACTCTCCTGCTGAGCCACACCCCCAGCCCTCCACACCTTCTTCTTTTTTTTTTGGTACTGGGGATTGAACTCCCTGTTTCGTATTTTATTTAGAGACAGGGTCTCACTGAGTTGCTTAGGGCTTTGCTTTCTGCTGAGGCTGGCTTTGAACTCTTGATTCTCCTGTCTCAGCCTCCCGAGCTGCTGGGGTTACAGGGCTCCACCTCTTCTTGATTGGATGGAATCTAAGCTATGCTTATCACAAGCCTCAGACAAAATAAAAGTCATCCTCTATGTCTCCATTTCCTAAGCTGTAAAACAGGGATAATAATACCTACTCTAGATGATGTTAATAATAATGATGAGGGTTATGATGAGGGTTAGGACCAACAGCACTGATCAGCAATTTTGGTGTCGGTGTGAGGGTTTCATCTAATACACATACCCTTTTCTCCAAGGCCACCAACAAATTCCTGGCCCTTTTTCTATTTATCCTAAAGATTTGGTAAAAATTTCAGATCTCAAGAAAACAGGTATGGCATGTGTTGGGGTGCTGAGTCTTGGCAGTTTACCATGGGGATCAGAACTTGGGTTCTGTTTGGAATGACATAGGTCTATTGGTCCAAACAGACCTGGTCTCTGGAACCAATTCTAAATGTCCCATGTGCCATTTAATCATGACACTATTAGTTTGGTATAACTATACTTAGTTTAGGAATAAGTAGATTAAGACATTGAGCTTCCTAAACTAAGCTTCCGAAAATAAGGACTATCAGCCTATTCATTCCGGTAAGTGGGAAAAAGAAAGATCTTGCACACAGGGAAGTTCAGCTTGCTTGGGGTTACCCTGCCAGCTCAGGAGGTGGCTCCAGACCTGGAATTAGGATGGGGGGGGGGACCCTGAGACTGAGGCTCTTGTAGTGGCTACCCCTGGCCAGCACCCACCTTGTGCCAGGCTCTGAGTGACAGCCTGAGGACCTCTTGCTGACCCCTACTTCCTGGAAGAGGTTGCCTGAAGCAACCTGTGACCTGCCTACAGCCATAAGGATATGGGATGACCGTGGTATTTTCCCTCCTCACTACCAACACATCCTGGCCGGCATGCAGCAGGGTGAGGTAGTGGTGGATGAAGTAGACGATCAGGGGGCTCTTCCCGTACACGTTGAAGAGGTTTGCCGACGGCTCGGGCTTTTTGCAGGCAGGGTGAGACTGAGGGGGAAAGAAAGAGGGAAAGATAAAGCATACTGCCATCTTCACAGCACATATTAAGAAACGTGATGGCACTCCCATCCTCCCATCCCATAACTCCAGCTTTAAGATGCAGCCTAAGGACATAACCAAGGTAAAGAGAAAAGCTTCAGGCACTAAGATGTCTGCTGCAGAGATGGTCACCAAACACAGCAGACATTTCAGAATAGGCTAAATGTTTAAGGAGAAGACGGTGATATCTCCACCCGAAGGAGCAGCAAATCACTTTTAAAATGCTTATGGGGCTGGGACCTAGGTTAAGGTAGAGTGCGTGCCTAGCATGTGAGGTTCTGGGTTGCATCCTAAGCACTATAAAAAGGAAAAAAAAGTTTATGAAGAGTTGATAACCTAAAGTATTTCAGGTATAACAGTAAAATTTTTAAAATTGAGATGCAAAACAGGATAAGAAATATAATTATAATAAATATAATTATATTAAATAAATCAGTAAAAATGAAAGATGGATGATACTGGAAAGATATTTACCAAAATGTGAACAATTCATTTAGCAAATATTTATTGACTGACTGCTAGGTCTGCACATCACTTTAGGCACTGAAGACTCAGCAGAGAACAAGACAAATCCTAGGAAAACAAAGGCTAAGCCAACAACTGGAAGGACAACATGGCTGTGACCAATGAGCAGCAAGGAGGTCAAGGGGTGAAGAGTGGAGGCTGAGGGGACCACTTTCCAGGGGGTGTCAGGGAGGGCTGCCTCTGGGTCAGATCCTAGCAGGCTGAAACTAGGTGAGAATAGGGAGCTGGGGGAGGATCCCTGGACATTCTAGGCAGAGAACCCTGAAGCGGATGTGAGCCAGGTGCAGCTGTGCAGCCCAAGTGGAGCAGGAGTTAAGAACAGAGGACAAGGGGCTGGGATTGTGACTTGGCGGTAGAGCGCTTGCCTAGCAAGTGCAAGGCCCTGGGTTCGATCCTCAGCACCACATAAAAATAAATAAAATAAAGATACTGTGTCCAACTGTAATTAAAAAATATTTTTAAGAAAAGGGAAAAGGATTTGAATAGACATTTCTCCAAAAATGATGCACAAGTGGCTGATAAGCACAGAAGGAGCTCTATACCATCAGTCATTGAGCAAAGCAAGTCAAATGAGACACCCCCTTTCCACTACAATCAAATAAATGAAATAAACATTAGTGAGAATGTGGAGAAACCAACATGCTCACACCGGGTAGGAATGGAGAATGGCAAAATGCTATGGAAAACAGACAGAGCTCAAAAAGTTAGACACAGACATAGCAACCCCCCTTCTAGGTGTACACCAGAGAAAACAGAAGACCTGTCCACATAACAACTCCATGAGTGTTCACAGACACAGCATTATCCACGAGCCAAAAGTGAAATGATGTCCATCAATTGGTAAATGAATAAACAAAATAAGGTGTTCTCATGTAGTGAAATAGTTTCCCATAAAAAGAAATGAAGTACTTTCATACTACAGCACAGACAAACCAGAGGGTGAGAAGCCAGTCCCGAGAGGCCACATATTACATAATTTCATTTATATGGAATGTCCAGAATAGGCAAATCCACAAGACCAAAAGTGAATTGGTGGGTTTCTGGGGGCTGGGGAGAGGACTAGGATATGACTGCTAAGGAGTGTGAGGTTTCTTTTTTGGGTGATAAAATGTTCTGGAATTAGTGGTGATGACTGCCCAATTCTGTGAATGAACCACCCCTTATACACTGCTTGGGGTGTGGCTTAGTGGTGGAGCATTTGCCTGGCACATGTGAGACCCTGGGTTTGATCCCTAGCACTGCAGAAATTCATTCATTCATTCATTCATTCATTCATTCAAATGCTGGACTTTATGGCATATGAACTTCATCTTTTAAAAAATCTTGGCTCTACCACTTCCTAGCTATTTGAATTTGGGCAAAGTATTTACTCTTTTTGAGCTCCACTTTCCTCATCTATACAATGGAGACAACAAATAAAACTTATTAGGGCTGTGTGAGGATCAAATTAATTTATACACATATGTAATGTTATTAGAACAATATCTGGCACACAGTCAACACTCAATGAATTTTACCTATTATATGTTAAGTTGAAAAAGCAAAATAGCAACAAAAATATTCAAATTTGTCTATTTTTAAAAATGTTGACATTTCTTGACAGACAAGTCTAAGTCGTATCACTTTTTTGCTTTGCGATCTTGGCCACATTTGTATCATCTTTCAGCATTTTTTTTCCACACTGCTAGTTACTGTAGTAGTGACTATCTCAGGGGACTGTCACAGCAAAATAAAATACACTGTGCCTTTAAGACTTAGCATAGTGCCCAACACACAATAAGTGTTCGTTAAATATTAATTGTCATCATGACCTCAGGTAAGCCTCATAAGAACACCATGATCTCTCTGAGTGGGTGTCCCTTTTTGTAAAGTAGGAAACTGGGGCTCAGTGCTCTCCTTCCACTATACACAGGTTCCTGAGTTTCCAGCAGGTGGTTTGAATCCCAAAGAAATCCAAACAAAAAAATGCTCTGTCTATGTTGGAATTGCCTTTAGGAGATTTCCTGAATGAGCACGAGAGTTAAAATCAGAACTACCCCAGTTCTTAGCCTGACATTGTCATAAAGCTAGGTTTTCTAGCCCATCTCTGACCCCCTTTTTAAATCACTCTGCCAGTCAGGTGCTTACCTCTTTAGTGAGCAGATTTGCACTTTCTCTTGCTTCTGATATCCTCTTGACCAGTGGTGTGGCTTTCCTCAAGACCAGGGTCGGACCTCTGTCAATGTGATACAGCAAAAGAATGATCACTGAAGCTTGCCGGCTCCAATGCAGGCAAGGTCTAGGTCTCAGCTTCCCCGTAAAGGGGATATGCCTGGGGATGTGGATCATTAAAGAGACTCTGGTGGATGCAGCTATAGTGAATGCGTTTTATGTGACTTGCTTTTTAGCCAGATACACACCTGCAGGCCATGTGTTTACCCATTTACTCATCTAATATCTGTCCATTCTTTCATCCATCCATCCATCCAGAAAGTATTTATTGAATACCTATTATGTATGCACCAGGCACTTTCTGGGTGCCAGAAAGAGATTATCTTCAAGGATCTCCCAGTTTAGTGAGGGGGGAAAAACAGACATGTAAATAATCAATGTAACACTAACTCAGGTGTCATGATAGAATTCTCTACAGATACTGTGTGGCCACAGAATAAAGAAGAACAGGCCTAAAGTCTTTAAAAAATGGTAGGCAGTGAACAGGGGATGTAGCTCAGTGGCAGAGAACTGGCCTGGCAAGCACAAGGCTCTGGGTTCAATCTCTAGTACTAGAAGAAAATGAGAAGGAAAAAAAAAAAGTTAAATAGCAACAGGAAGGAAGGGACAAAAAAGGTCCAACCTTGGCACAAAACTATGCTTTCTTGCACAGAATGTTAACAGAGAATATCTCAAAGATAAGTAGAGAAACAATAGATCATCTCTAAATAGGTGATCAGAACAACTGCAGAGTTCTCAGCAATAGCAATGGAACAGGAAAACAGTCAAGCAAAATGACCAAAGCACTGAGGGAGAGTTGGGGACGATAATGCATTCAGCCTGTGGGGAAGGGGTGGGGTTACATGGCTCTGAGGTCTTTGTTTGGTTCAGGAAAGGGGCTGGGCTAAGTCATTATTTAACTTCAAATAAAGTTAAATATGCATGCTAGGATTTCACAGGCTCACAATAAAGCAACTTCCTCACCCTCTGCTTTACTGAGGTCAGGGGCCAGAGGGCTGTCTGATGTGGGGAAGGTCCTGTCACTGGAGGATGGTCATCAGTATTCCTGACCTCTAATCACTAAATGCCAGTAGCACCTTGCCCCTGAGAGGCAGCAACCAAGACTATATCCAGACCCTGTTAAACATTCCTTGGGGGGAAATGTCTCTGTTTGAGATCCACTGCAATGAAGAATGTAAACAGAATATAGAACTTTCCAAAAAAACAGAATAAAACGGAGTAAGAAAGATAGAATGAAAAAAATCAGGAATCTGGATTAGGTTAAGATGAAATAAGCGCATTCCACTCTGTTCTTCAGTGAATGCAGCTAAAAACCCTGCGCAGAACCCCCGGCCCCACTGTCTGAGGACTCTGAAAAAGGCACAGTAGCAGGTAAACTGGAAGGAAATCCAGATGCAAACCTGGTTCCACAAGGATTTGTTTTTCCTTCGTATCTCCCAGCTCAGAGGCATCTCAGGGCTGGAGGTGCAGGGGTCCTCTGCCCTCTTCTGCCCGATGCCCTGGGGGTGCAGGCACACACACACACACACACACACACACACACACACACAACATACACTCGCACAGCCCGGAGCTGTCCAACGTGGTGGTCCTGGAGCTGTTGTGATCCACTTCTGGCAGACCTCTCCTCCTGGGAGGCTGGGGATGGAGCCAGGACGTATATTAGTCTTTCTGGTGACCAATGCTCTTCCTCACGCTCCCTAGGGGCTGCACCCTAAGATTTGGCCTGAGTTCAGTGTGGTTGAAAAAGACCCATTATGAACAAGTCACTTCTTTCACTCTGGAAATTACAAAGGCTTAAGGGGCTCTGTGCCAGGAACTGGGACAAATGCCAAATAGAGTTTATCATTATGCCACACAATCCCAACAATCTAAAAGAAAAATTAGAAAAAAAAAAAAAAGTGGAGTCTCAGGGACCTATGGGACACTATGAAAAGGTCCAGAGTTTGTGTCACCAGAGTCCCAAAGTGAAAGAAGAAAGAAAAAAAAAAAGAAAAATAATAGCTGAAAAAGTCCCAAATTGGGTAAAACACATAGATTTAAGAAACTCAGTAATGGGGCTGGGGCTGTAGCTCAGGGCAGAGTACGCCTGGGCCCGCCTGAGGAACTGGGGTGGATCCTCAGTGTCGCATAAAAATAAACCAATAAAACAAAGGTATGTTGTCCGTCTACAACTTAAAAAGGAAAGAAAAGAAACTCAGTAAGCCCCAAAGAAGCTGTGACGTCATGTGAACAGGGTTTCATCCTGATCAGTCTGCTGAAAGACCATGCGGGGTCCTGAGGACAGAGAGAGAGGGACATCGCTCAAAAGCAGACAAGAGCTGACGGGCTGGATTTCTCATCCGGAACCTCAGGGACTGCAAGGCTGCGGACCGACATCTGGGGGGGGGGCGGGGGGGGGGGAATGAGCTCAGGGCCTTGCTCATGCCAAGGTCCTGGTGCCACGCCCCCAGCCGGGACCAACAACTCCAAGTGCTAAGGGAAAAGACCTCTCAACCCTAATTCCACATCCAGGAAAACATCTTCAAGAATGAAGGTGTAAAAAAGACATTTTCAGACGGAAGAAAAGTAAGGGACTGCAGGCCACGGTAAGAGGCCTATTTTAAATGAAATTCTCGTGGAAGTTTTGTTTTCACACGGGAGGAAAATGAGAGCTTGGGAAAACCTGGGTCTTCAGGATTGAAGAAAAAGCAACAGAAACTGGAATTATCTGGCCACACAAAAGAAATATAATTGACCATTTTCCTTGATCAGTGCTCACTGAACCAAAAAGACAGCCATATCTTCTCATGAAGGCTGCTTGGTGCTAAGGTACAGGCTAGAGCCACAAGGGTAGAGCAAATTGTGTTCAAAATGACCCAAGAAACTAGGGTTTGGGAGATAAGAACCAAGTCAAAAGCCACCATTTCTCTTTGTGGAAGTCAGCGTACCTCTCGTAGCACTCTGGGCTCGCAGGTTCTCTCCTGAATTCAGCCTGGCTGCGGAGACTCTGTCGTTGGCCGAAGGTGTGATAGAAGACTCCAGGAGAGAACGGAGAAAACGTCATTAGGAAACTGGTAGCAAGAGGAATAATGCGACTTCTTAGCTACTCCTCATCTTTCTCAGCAAGGAACACACAGAAGAGGACCATTCAGGCCCAGTTTGACAATCCAGGCAGTCCTGGCAGAGAGAAGAGGCCTAGCGGAGAGCCCACGGGGTGGGGACGGGGCGAGTGGACTTCAGACCCAGCTCTGCACGCGGAGACTGCCGATCTTGGGCCAGTCCTTGAGCCTCTCTGTGGTGGGTGTTTCCATAGGATTCAGCCAGGTCACTCAGACGGAGCACTCGCTGGCTGGCAGAGGGGCTCCCAGGGCACTGCCCCCTGGCCTAGCAGTCTTGCAACCTGCCTCCTTCCCTCAGCTTTTCTTTGAGCCACTGCTTATGAGCCTAGCACAGGCAGTCACTGAAACCTCGTCAATAAACCTCGTCCCTCGTCCCAGAATGGCTCCCAGTCTAGCAGCAGAGATTAGAGAAGGTCGAAAAGTACACTAAACATAGAAGGTAGCCCATATTCCTTAGGGGAAACAAATTAGGATCATGTTAGGGACGTGAGTGACAGAGACTCAGAATTATAATGGGTCAAACTAGGTAGAAACTGATCTCCTCCATAAAAGTCTGGAGAGAGGCAGGACTTGTACTGTGCCAAGCCCTCAGGGACTCTGACTTCTTCCAGCTCACTGCTCCATTCGTCCTAAGATGGGACTTTCGTTCTCAGGGTCCAAGATGGCAGCTAGAGTGCCAGTTATCACTTTCCCACTCCAGGCAGCAGGATGTAAAAGAACACAGAGATGAAGGGCTTATACAAGTTAGATTTTAAAGAAATTTTTCCAGAAACTGCCACATGGTACCTCTGCCTACCTCTCACTGAGGTGGTCACATGGCTATACGTGTATGCAGGGAGACTAGGAAGTACCATCTTTATTCTGGCCATGAGATGCCCAGTTAAAAGACAGAGGTGCTCCTTTATAGATGAGGAGGACAGCAGATGTCGGGGAGCCATGGCTACTCTGACACAGCGCGGAGGGGACCGTGGAGTCCGAGCGGGGGACTCTGGGCTGTGTGAGGGTGCTGGAGGGCTTCCAAGAGAGGAGACACTCGCTTTCTGTCCTTGAGGACGAGTAGGAGCTTGGTGGTGTCTGACAAATGGCCCACCAAGTGGCGCACAAGTAGTCCACCAGGAGTGACCACAACTGCTTTGCTGTTAAATAAATACAGTATCTGAGTGGGCAGGAGAAAGTCACGCAGCTGTGTGTCCAGTGCTCGAGGTGTTGAGGTTGTGGCCGGGGTTTGTAAGAAGCACTCCCAGGGCTCAGTGAGACATCGACACTCATCTTTTTTTTTTTTGGTACTGGGGATTGGACCCAAACACTGAGCCACACATCCTCAGCTCTTTTTAATATTTTATTTAGAGACACGGTCTCACGGTCTCACTGAGTTGCTTAGGACCTTGCTAAGTTGCTGAGGCTGGCTTTGAACTCACGACCCTCCTGTCTTGGCCTCCCAAGCTGCTGGGAGTACGCCACGGCACCCGGCTCAACATTCATTCTTAAGAGGCCTGTAATAATCTCTAGCAGAGGAGAGAACAGTGCAAGGAGGTGAGCTTGAGTGTAAGTTAGTAGATCCTCCCATTGGGGGAGAAGGGGCAGGATGATGTACAAACACGCAGTGACCTGGGACAAGTCACTCACCTCTCGGGTCTATTTATTCCTTTCTTGCGTAAAGGTAGCAGTTACTAATTACCCTCCTTGTGGGCTGCTGTAAGGACCAGGAGGCTATGGCTTTGGCAGAGGCTAGGCCTGTGCAAAGAAACCCGCAGCGGTGGACTCTCCTAATGACCACACCTTTCCACTTGCAAGTAAAGCACTTTCCCACCCATTCTCTCAGGCTGTGACCAGCTGCCACACATGTGTGGGTGAGGCAAGGTGACCACGGTTAGGATCAAGGTAAAGGAAGACTGCCCTCACCCGGCACAGAGAAGACAGGGCTGATTCACCTCACTTGGTCACCTGGCTGAGGGCTCAGGTTATGGGGACAGAGGAGCAGGGGGAGCCTGTTTGGAGCGACCATGAGATACAATCTGGGATGCCTACAGGTGCCAGGGAAAGGAGTGGGCTGCACAGGTATGAGAAGGAGCTGGAGGAATTTCGGTCATTATTGTTAATGACCACGCTCTGGAACTTGGGAAAATTCTGGTTAAAATTCCAAAACAAGATGGGCATAGTGGTACAGGCCTGGGATCCCAGCAATTCAGAAGGCTGAGGCAGGAGGATTGCAAGTTCAAGGTCAGCCTCAGTAACTTAGTGAGACCCTGTCTCAAAATAAAAAATAAAAAGGGCTGGGGATGTGGCTCCATGGTAAAGCACCCCTGGATTCAGTCCCCAGTCCCGGGTGGGGGTGGAATCATGAGATATTCTCACAGGACATGACTATACAACAATTTATGGGATGTTATTTATCCCCAGATAGAATCTGTAAGAGGTGATACCAGTTGTGAGGCTCAGTTTGCCGATGAGAACACGGAGGCTCTTCACCCTTCCTCTGCTGCAGACAAGGCGCCAAAGCAGCTGGGAGCTGAGCTGCCCGCTGGGGCCCGTGCAGCAGGACTAACTAAACCTGCATACGTGCATCTCCTGCCTTTTGTCTCACTTCCTGCCCCTGCCTCTTCTCTAAGATCCTGCTCACCTTCCAGGATTGTGAAGAGGGAACTTTTGAAATAATTAAGTTTCTTCCATCTTCCTTCAAAGTTGAATTTGAATAAAACCTATTTTCCTACCAATTTGAATAGTTCAGGAGTAGCAAGCACTTCCTGAGGGGTATTAGAACCCCTTAGAACCCCTATACCCCTGATTCCTCCTTACAGAGACCACCTTTCACTGCCTTCTCTAAGATTCACTAAACAATTGAATGACTCAGTTTCCAACAGGTAGGAGCCCTAATTTACAGCTGAGCCTCTCGGAAGGAGCCAGACTGGCAGATAACTTCTCACTCCTGGCAAATCCCTAACACTCCAAGGGCAGACCGCAGGTCAGTCCTAGAGAAACTGGAACTCACACCTCTGAATTATGAACTCTTGGACTGTCTGTGGCCACTGGAAAGCATACTTTGAACACCGCCAGCTACTCCATTGAGCAGACAGGACAGTGAGTGAGAGTTTTCCTGCTGCCTCACAGCAGTTCCAAGACACCCTTTTCAGAGAAGCTCTGCCTCCCACAGGAGTCACCCCCTCCATCCTGGTTGGCCACTAATGCTTCAGCTGTTTTCAAGGTTCCAGAGTGTTCTATCATTTGTGTTTCTAGGGGCAGAAAATTGAATCTCTTCACTGAGCTGCTGAAATAACTGTCAGAAGGCTTTACATGTCTCAGTACAAAGCAATGCATTTGTTTCTGGCAGTTGTGACAGGCAGCACCCAAACACTGAATAATATTTTCATCTTGATCTCTGAGTGACAAGTGTCCCTCCACAGCACCTGTTCCGTCTGTACTTTTGGGAGCTGACATTTATAGAGCCCCATCACATGCTAAGCGCAGCCAAGAGCTTTGTAGGTGAGTATGTGACCTCATTCATGAAGGCCAGAAAGCTTTGCTCGGTGCCCTCTGTGCTGGGCCTGTCCTCAGAGACCACGAGGCGAGGAGACGGAGGACAAGGAGAGCCTGCGTATCTATGTTTTAAGGTGTGGGCATCCTAAACAATACCTGAACCCTTGGACGTGTGGAAGAGGACAAGCACGGGACAGAGGAAGGGAGTGGGCTGGGGGGCGGTGAGGGGCAGGGGAGTCAGGGCAGCCTGGGCAGTGGAGCTGGAGTCAGAAGCACAGGAGGAACCAGAAGCCAGAGGAATGCACCTTCCAGAAAAGATGACAAGGAGCACGAAGGCCCACTGGGCATATGTCTGGGCGTCCAAGGGGCACAGGGACATCCAGTGGGCTGATGGTCAGGTATCAAGGGAGAGAAGGCCATGGTGGCCGGTTCTGCAGGGCATTTCACGCCGTGGAACGAGACCAGATCTTCTTCCAAGGGCAATGAGAAGCTGTTGGAGGTTTTAAGCACGGAATGGCCCCGCCTAATGTCTGTCTGCAAAAGTCCTTCTGGTTCCTGTGTGGACACTAGGCTGGGGCTACCGATAAAAGGAGCCCAGGTGGCGGCTCCTAGAGACAGCTGGGAGATGTGAGGCTGAGGGCAGCTGAGAGCCCACAGAGAGGTCTGAGAGAGGCCAGGGAGGGGAAGGTCTGGGGGGAACTAGCATATGAATAGCGTTTGAAGCCACCAAACCAGCAGAGGTCACTAAGGGAGAACAAATCAATATAGCAGGGAGGGGGACCCAGGACAGATTGGATCAGCAGGATAGGGAGCCACCAGAGATGACTGAGGATGGGCAGCGAGCGACAAAGGAAGGTCTGGCAACTGTGTGACAACACAGAATTAAGAAATCAAGAAACTTTTTTTTTTTTTTTTTACATTTCTGGGGATCAAATCCAGGCCTTATGCGTGTTCAGGACTGCTGAGCCACGTTACCAGGAGAACAAGGGACAGCACTGGTCCAACCACTGTGGAAAACAATAGTTGGGGGAGGGGGTCTTTAAAAAACTAAAAATAAGGCTGGGGATGTAGCTCAGAGAGAAAGAGTGCTCTGGGTTCAAGCTTCAGTACCACAAAAAGAAAAGACAAGAAACTAAAACTGGATCTACCATATGATCCAGCCACCCCACTTCTGGGTACATAACCAACGGAAGCAAAATCTAGACATCAAAGAGGTGCCCACCCGCCCAGGTTTCTTGAAGCACTATCCCCAATAGCTGAGACATGGAATCAACCTAGGTGGCCATCTAGGGACGAGTGGGTAAGAAAACAGGATGTGTACAACAGGAAGAGGAATGGAATCCTGTCATTTGCAGCAAAATGGATGGAACTGGATACACAAGGGAAAGAAGCCAGAAAAAAGAAAGAAAAGCAGTTCTCCCTTACATGTGGGAGCTAAAAAAAAAAAAAAAAAAAAAAAAAAAAAAAGAGAAAGAAAGAAAGAAAAGAAAGGTCCATTGAATGCAGGAGAGTGATCCCTAGAGGCTAGGCAGGGCCAGGCAGTGGGACAGAGGTTGGATAACTGGTAGCAGGAGAGTTAGAAGGAAGGCATCGTGCAGCACAGTGGGGTCGTTCACAAGAGCTCATTTCCTCAAGATCTAGAAGAGAGGGACTCAAGGCTCCACACTAGAGAAATAATAAGGAAACAGAAATGCTGATCACACGGATGTGAGAACCCTGTATGCAGGTGTTAATACATCACTGTACTTCACTGATATGGACGACAATTATGTGTTAATTTAAAAATGTAATTAAAAAAAAAAAGACAGTGGGCATACCCTATCCTGTGAAACCCTCTGTAGGACTGACCCTCCAGGTGGCAAGAGTGGCCCAATGGCCAGCGTGGTTAGGGCCCCAACTGGAGGCACACTTTCAAGGTGGGGAAAGGAGATGTGGGGACAGATAAGTCTTTTAAGAAGTCCTGCGGTGGGGTCAGGCACAGGGGCACATATAATCCCAGCGACTTGGGAGGCTGAGGCAGGAGGATTGCAAGTTTGAGGCCAAACTGGGCAACTTAGTGAGACCCTGTCTCAAAATAAAATAGAAATGGCTGGGGATGAAGTACAGTGATAGAATGCCTCTGGTTTCAAAAACAAAAGAAGGAGGGGAAGGAGGAGGAGAATAAGAAGATGAAAGAAAGACCTGGAATTAGCAAATTTTTTTCTTCTAAGAAAAAAAAAAGTCAGATAATAATATTCATCTCTGCCAGTCGCAGGTTCTCAGTAATCACTATATTCAACTCTGCTATTTCAGTACAGAGATAGCAAATAAGTGGGCTTGGCAGTGAACAATAATTCTGTTTACAGAAGCAGGGAAAGGCTTCATTCATCTCACCAGACTCTGCCTTGGACATTTGTTTTTTCCAGCTCTCCAGAAAAAAAAAAAAAAAAAAAAAGGCTGTGATTTGTGGCATTTGATTAATTGCATGCTACCCATGTGACTTTTCTAGGAAAAATGCTAACAAGGGCAGGTGAGAGGGTAACTCACCCAGGACACCAGCATGATCCAGTACAGAGGCCGCGTTTGGGCAGAGAGTGGAGTGCCCACAGGAACTGGAAGAGGCCTGTGGCAGGAGCCCCCAGAGCCCGTGGGTACAGATGGGTTGGACCAGTCCAGATAAGACCTTGCAGGAAAGTCCACACCAGCAGTGAGAGGACGCTTCCTCATGTGACAGGTGTTTTGTTTGGGCTGTAAGGAGGCATTCAGGGTGGGGGGACGGCAGCTGCCACAGGAGATACAGTTAGCAGGGTGGCAGGACTGAAAAGGCGAGAATATAGCACCTATAGGAGGGACACTGAGGAAGGGCAGAGGAAGAGCAGGGGTCAAGGTGATGGCCAGGCTGTAGGTCTGCCCTGGGGACTGCTGGGGAAGAAGAGGCAGGAAGCCCCCTGGCATGGCAGCCAGGATAGAAGGCTGGGCTGCTGCTCCCCCACTGCTGACTGCCTTCCTTTCTTTCTTTTTCTTTTTTATTTTAAATTTATCTAATTTTATTTTTTGTGCTCCTGGGGATTGAACCCAGGGACACTCTACCACTGAGCTACACCCCAGTCCTTTTTTTTTTTTTGAGACGGGGTCTTGCTAAGTTGCCCAGGCTGGCCTCAAACCTGCGATCCTCCTGCCTCAGCCTCCTGAGCAGCTGGATCGCAGGCGTGTGTCACTGTGCTTGGCCTGCTGCTGTGCTTCTGTGGTGGCCACTCAGTGCTCCACTCATCCACAGGCCATCGCGGCCTACAGGACCCCTCACTGAAAAGATGAGGTAGAACCAGGGCAGGGGCACAGAGATGTGCTGTTGACAAGAGGCCACTGATGCTCTAGAGGATCCAAGGTGTTTGCAGCTTGGAGCTTCCAGGGGTCCCGGTCTAGTCCTCCCCTTTACCTGAGGGCGGTGGGATCTCCTGCCCTGGAACGTCTTCTTAGGAGTGAAGAAAGAGAAATATCTTCCTAAGGAAGGAAAGAAGCTGTTCTTTAGTCCCTTCTGGCCATGGGATGCCAAGATTGAAGCCAGGAGTTCGGAGACAGTCCCTTCCTGCCACCAGGGACTCCACAAGCCACCCCCACCAAACTCTCCCCTAAGCACAGCCTCAGGCAATTTGGAGCCTCTCTGTGCCTTCCACCTGCTGAGTGACCTCAGCAAGTCACCTCACCTCTCAGATCCTGAGTTTGAACACTGTCTATCATGAAGGGCTGTCCAGCTAATTAAAGGCAATATCATCCGGGGATTGGAGGTTGCGGTGTGCAGGCAAGCATGCAACTCTCATGGGGGAAAAAAAAAGGACTGGTTCCCAAAGAAAAACAACCTGGAACCCTAGAAAATCACAATGAGTAAATGTGGGGTGAAATGAATGAATTTCCTTATAAAAGAAAATCTAGGGCTGTAGCTCAGCAGAAGAGTGTGTGCTTAGGCCCTGGGGTTCCATCCCCAGTACCACAAAAAATGACAAACAACTATTAAGCCCATAACATGTTAAACTTAATATTCATTAAAATGTCATTAAATTTGAATATAGGCAACACTGGAATTTTTTAAAATGACGACAATTAAAATTAGGGTTTTTTTTTTTTTTTTCTACATTGAAAAATATCCCTGGGGCTGGGGTGGTGGCTCAGCGGTAGAGCACTTGCCTAGCACAGTCAAGGCCCTGGGTTTGATCCTCAGCACCACATAGGAATAAATAAGTAAAGATATTGAGTCCAACCACAACTAATGTGTTTAAAAAAAAAAAAAAAAAAGATCTGTGTGTGCGCATGCCCACCAGGAAGCCTGTCTGCTAAGTGGGTAAGTAATCGTGAAGGCTCAGAAAGTTGACGGTTGAGTGTGTCTGGCTTGAATAAGCAGTGGCTGTGCCAGCTTCTCCAGAAAAACAGCCGTGCCCTGCTCCGTGCCGAGGGTTGCAGTCTTCTCTTCCCTGTGCCCAGGTTGGGCTACCCCAGCTGCACTGGGGACTTGGACAATGCAGCAAATCTGACTCACTCTGTCTCCTAAGACGTTGCTGCTGGTCCTCCTACCACACGAGTCCTCTCCTTCCCCTGCCTGAGACCCTCAGATCTCAGTTAGGAGCATTCGTTGACCATGGTGGGCTGTCTGGGCATGCCTCTGGGTGCTGCCTCTGCATCCTGTGCCCCTCATCACAGTGCCCAAGCCACTGTGCCATGATTACATTATGGATGGTGACAGGGCCCTGGCTCACCTCCACCACTGTGCCCCTTAGTGGTTAGCACAGGGCCTGTGATGTGACTGTTGAGTGAAATAAAATCAAGTGACCCGGGGCAAGGTTTGAATTTCAGTTTCCTGACTGCGGTGTGAGATGGATAGTGTGGCAGCAGGTTGTCAAGAGGATGAAATAAAACAGAGAGCGCCCCCGGCACGGTGCCGGCCTACCGTGGACATCTGTTCACAGGAATCTGCTATTTGAAAATCAAACCCTTTCCTCCCAGCCCACAAACGAGCTGCATGAACTCTAACCACAGCTCATAGGCACTTACATTTCAGTTGGTTTGAGAGTCCCTAAGAGAGACTCTGGCCTGGGGACATCAATTTTCTGACTCCCTCTGTCTCCATAAATGGTATTGGGTGTGGCAGAGGGCAGAGGGACCTATAACTGGTATCTTACCCTTTGCCAGTCGTTTTCTCTGTAAAATTAATTCTTCTCTCCGGAATCTCTCTGGATCCAGTTCCGAGTAGTCCCAACTCTTATACCCCTGGGGGCGTGGATATGTCCCTAAGGGAGTGGAGAGCCAGAAAGGACACTAGCCAAAAAGAAGGGAGGCAGACCACCCAGGACAGAGGAAGACAGAGTCTCTGAGGCCCTGCCAGTTCTGGGACGGTGGGACTTCCAGTACCACTCCACCCCAGGCTGGCCTGTGGCCTTGGAGGTGTCACTTCCTCTCTAGAGGACTTTGGGTCTTCGTCTGGAAAATGGGGCCTGATGCCACCTGCCTCCCCTGTCTTCCCTGCCAAATGGATGGCTGGGTTGAGGTCAGATGACAGGTGTGTGACTCTCCCGTGTTGTGTAAATGTGAAGGCACTACAGTTCTCATTTCCCCCACTGCCCCTGATTTGCTGGACCATGAGCTCTCTGGTGGCCTGGGCTGGGTCTTAGTCATCTTTGGCCTCCAGGGTTTCCTGCTGGGCCTGGTGCATAATAGGTAGTAGCGAGCAAATGTTAAGCAGGAGCTGGGGATATAGCTCAGAGGTAGGGCTTGCCTAGCATGTGCAAGACCCTGGGTTCTGTCCCCAGCACTACAAGGAAAAGAAATAAGAAAAAAAAAAAAAAGAGTTGTTAAATGTGTTATGACACTTTCAGTTAAGTGTCAGAAATGGGTTCTCAGGAATGGTGACGCTTCTAAGGATCCTTAAGAAACTTGGGCCCCTGAGCAAAGCCGCGGTTCCTTGGACAAAGCCAATGGACAGGAGCTTGATTACCGAGGATGAGTTGGGGAAGATAAAGCCTTGGGCAAAAGACTGGGAAAAAGGAAGAGCAAGGCGAGGGTCAGAGAACGGGAGGCAGAATGCCACAGTGGTCAGAGGCCTAGCTTGGGAGGGGCCACCCCTGGAACTAATCCCTGCCCCTCCTTTGCTGTTGGACTGCATTGATCTTCCATGTTAAGAGGATTAAATGGGTTTCAGAAAACCATGATGTGGAATGTGATGGACATCATTATCCAAAGTACACGAATGAAGACACGAATTGGTGTATACTTTGTACACAACCAGAGACATGAAAAATTGTGCTCTATATGTGTAATAAGAATTGTAATGCATTCTGCTGTCATATAAATTAAAAAATTAATTTAAAAAAAAGAGAGAAAAGCATTAGTGGGGACTGAGGTTGTGGTTCAGGGTAGAGTGCTCGCCTAGCATGTGTGAGGTCCTGGGTTCAATTGAAAGAAAGGAAGATAGAAAGAAAGGGAGGGAGGGAGGGAGAAATAAAGAGAGAGAGAGAGAGAAAGAAAGAAAGAAAGAAAGAAAAGAAAGAAGAGAGGGAGGGAGGGAAGGAAGAGAGAGAAAGAAAGAAACAGAGAAAAGAAAAGAAAAACATTAGCACAGCAGGTCTGAGACTGCTGGCCTTAGAGAGGCCTTAGAAAAGCCTGCTAGACTGGCTCTTGGCTGGTGGCTGGGAAGTTGGCAGGTAAACAGTTCCTTACACTGATACAAAACTTCCTCTGATACCAAGAGGGCTCACTGTGCCCAGATTGCATGGTGTGGCTTATGCCACACACCTTCTTTTCTAGAACTGTGAGAAGTACTGATGAAACTTTGGCCACTGCATCTTTAATGGACAACGACATCACATACAAGTTGCTACATTTTCATGGCAGGAGGAAGAGTAACTGCGTGGGATTCTTTGTGGGAGGGGGACAGCACAAAGGAGCCTGTCTTTCACCCTGGGATCCAGCCGGGTATCCTGACCGCATCCTTATTCATAAAGCTCAGCCGTGACTACAGCTGTGTGCTGAGACCCGTGAGTTCTTCTAATGTGTGTGGGGGGACTTTGGGAACCCCAGCACAAGAGGACAGGTTAAAAGTGCTTACTTGGCACAGAATCTGGCACAAAGGAACCTTGCAATAAATAGAAGTTTTCAATGACCTTAGGCAATGTCTAGGCTGAGCTGGGGCAGTGGAGAAGGGCACTGAAGGGTGGCTGTGGGTGCTGGATGGAGAGGCCATGGTGGGCCCCTTGGTCACATGGAGGGTAGAAAGCTGGGATTATCTAACCAGCTACTGCTTTTGAATCCTTCAACCCATGGCACGTGGCTAACTATCAGGGTTGAGCTGAAACTTGGGTATGTGTTAAGAGAGGCTCCCAAGCTCCCTGTAGATGTAGCTGGGCCCAAACCTGGATTAGAAGGGGTATCTTGGGACTGCCTTGAGGCAGCGGGAAAACTCATGCTCCTTGGGCTCTCACCGGACACTGTACTCTCATTGGTATTTAGGAAAGAAAAGGAAGATGGCCCTGATGAAGGCATGTGATGGCCAATGAGAATCACCTGGGCTCTGGTGGACAGCATCCTTCCGGAACTGCAGCCCCCGGGAGCAGCAGCCAGCTCTCACCTGTCATCCACAGGTTGATGGTGTCGCAGATGTCCGACTTGAATTCGTGGGTGTTGAACCAGGACTGTGGGAAGCAGCAGCAGAAGCTGGTGTACAGGGCTTTGCTCAAAAGTGACGGCAACCTCTAGGGGGACAAGCAGAGCTCAGGCAACCTTCTCGACATGTCAGAGCCCTGAATTCAGAAAGGGCCTGCACTAAAATTCTTTTCCATCGAGAAGCTGCCTTCCTGCTGTTTTTTTCTTTTTTCTCTTTTTCCTCCCCGCCCCAGTACTAGGGATTGGACCCATGGTGCTTTACCACTGAGCTATATCCCCTGTCCTTTTTACATTTCATTTTGAGACAGGGTCTTGCTAAATTACTGAGGGTCTGGCTTTGAATTTGTGATCCTCCTGCCCCAACCCGGAATCACAGGATTATAGGCGAGTACCACTGTGCCACGGTCCTATTTTTTTTCCTTCCTTTTTTGGCACTGGAGATTGAACCCAAGGGGGCACTAAACCACTGAGCCACATTCCCAGTCCTTTTTTATATTTTATTTAGAGACAAGATCTGGCTGAGTTGCTTAGGGCCTCACTAAATTGCTGAGGCGGCTTTGAACTCTTTCCTACCGCCTCAGCCTCCTCCTGGGATTACAGGCATGTGCCACCAAGATGCGCTGGGGACAGCCCTGACTGTTTTTTGTTGTTGTTTGTTTGTTTCTTGTTTTTGCAGCCCTGGGGATTAAACCCAGGGCTTTGCACATGCTAGGCAAGCGCTTGACCACTGAGCTACATCCCTAGCCCCACTTCCTGTTCTTAAGGGAAGTAATGTCTGTCTTCCGCTGCCTCCACATCTCCTTATCCTATAAGAGGGTTGCTCCTCACCCATCAAGTTATGTTTGGCCAATAGCCTCCTCCCTCCCCAGAGCTCCTTTATGTGAGCCGTTAGCCCCTTCTGCAGCTTGGCCAAAGTGCAGCCAACAAGATGGCGAGAGATACATCCCCCTGTTACCATTGGCCAAGGCGGTAATGGGCCTTTATATCGTGTAACATGTGTGCCATCAGGATTTTTGCAGTGTGTCATTTGCCTCTTAATTTTATCTGTATTAATTTTTTAAAATTATATAGTTAAATTATTGGTCTTCTCCCTTGTTTCCTCCAAGTCATATTTAGAAAGCCCTCCCTCACCCCAGTCATGTAAAGTATTCAGTCATGTTTTCTCCCAGCAATCCCTTCAGTACTTACGTTCACACACATCTAAAAAGTACATATGTATGTTCACACTTTTAGTTTTAACATTCCAGGCTTACTTAAATCTCACAGAAATATGTAAAATAGAAAAGGGAAGACTCTCACAACTGCAGTCCTCAGAGATAAATATTGTTAAGAGTTTGGTAAATATTTTTTCAAATTTTCTTCTCTTCTTTGGCACGTACACATACAGTCAAGTGCCACCCAGCAATGGGGCTGTGTTCTGAGAAGTGCATTGTTGGTTGACTTTGTCACTGAATGAACACCACAGAGTGCACTTACATAAACTGACTGCTGTGATGTCCCTGGGAAATATAATCTCATGTCACAGCCATAACATGCAATCCACTGTTGACCAAACTGTCACTTGTGGTGCATGACTGTGTATATATTTGAACATAGAGTTGTATGAATTGCTTTTTCACTTAAAATATATGATTATAGCTCTCCTTGTGGGTATGTAGAATTCTATTATATTTTCATAGCTGCTATATTATAAGTGGGTTACAGAGATACCATGTGGGGAGCCACTCTGAGTGACCCATGCCTTCCATCCTGAAGCAAGAGGCTCTGACCAATCATTGCATTTCGTGGTGACTTGGGTGTTGTCCCAGCCCAGGAAGTAGGAGTGTCTTCAGGAGCTACATTCACCTGTTCCTTTGTAATACTACTCCTTTGCCCTATTTGGGATAGAATGTTCCATGGAAATGCCCTTTGTATGTCCCCTTCTCTTGCTCTGCCTTTGGGTGTGGCTTTCCTAGATGTCAGTCACCTGCTGTCAGCAGACATCACAAAGCTAGACTCAACTCCCTGAAACCTGACCCCTTGCCTCATTTGAATGGCTTCTCCTCAATGGGAGGGTTCAGCATCTGCCCCTCCCACTCTCTCTCTCTCCACCCCCCCCCCCCCCCCCCACCTTAAGGTCAGAGGACCCAAAGAAAAAGGTATCTCTGTCTCTGTGTGATTATTTTGTGCAGCCCAGTTCACCTGGAGTGACCCTGAGTATTTTAGTTGTGAAGAAGGCGACAATACCACAACTTTCTACTCACTGCTTTATGTAAAGGATGCTTAGGGCATGCTCTTCGACACTAGAGGTGAACAGAAACCCAACATTATGTTTTCCTAGGCAGTGGATGATACTCACTTTCAAGAGTGCTTCCACGAAATGCGATCTGGGTTGATGAAACAAGAGGAAGGCATAGTGCCGGGCTATCCTGTCGAGAAGCCTGTTCTGGACCTCCTTGTTTGGCTGCCAGGAACAGAATTGGGGAAGGAATTATCGAGTCCCTTGTTGAGACAGCCAAGTATGACTCTCACTTTCAGGGATCCTCTTCTCTGGCTAATGAACCCCACGTGCTTTATGAAATAACCGACTCATCTTTGGCATCAGAGTCACAAAGCGTGTGCCCAGAGGCAGTGTGCTGTTGAAGGAGGCACACCAACTCTGGGTCATGGGTCCTGAGTTCTATTCTCAGCACTGCCCTGGGCCAGTCACCTAACGTGGACTAGTTCCTAAAGCTTGGGGGAGCCAGAGGACATTGGATGATGGATGATGTGCGGGGTCCACAGGTGAGACCTGAGTAGGGAGGAGACAGAGTGACAGCAGAGCCTGCAGGGGCGATCCACGGGATCCAAGGAGCTGGTAGCTCAGGTTAAAGAGGTTGGAATTTGTTCTAAAGAAAAGTAAGCAAACCAAAGAAACAATCAGTTCCTCATTTACCTGGTACCTTTCATGAAACATCCACCAAAAGCTATCCAGCCACAAGGTTCTGGGAGAAGGAGAAGAGAGAAACTTCTCTAATTCACTCTCTGAACAGAAAGACTTGGGGAAGAAAAACACAAAATCTATATTATATTTATTTTTTAAATTCACCTTGAACCGCAACCAGATTCATAATTGTCTTCACTCAAAACCTGCCTTTCCGCCCGTGCTATCGTTACAAAGAGCACCATCTCCTGCCAGTCATCTTTGGAGTCAACAAAAAAGCTGCTCAGGGCTGGGGTCGTAGCTCAGTGGTAGAGCACTTGCCTAGCATGTGTGAGGCACTGGGTTCAATTCTCAGCACCACATATAAATAAATGAATAAAATAAAGGTTCATTAGCATCTAAAGAATATTAAAAAAAAAAAAAAAGAAAGAAAAAAAGCCACCTAATCTTGTAGTATGTGTCCACAATTTGCCTGGCCTTAAGCCAGGTGTTTTATGTATTCCCATTTAACCCTCAATAATCTTATGATACACATCCACCATCACGGACTAGGAAATGAGAGGCTAGAAAAGTCAGGAGACTGAGGACTGACAAGCTGAGAGCACTGGCCTAGAGTAACATGGCCAGCAAGTGGCCGAGCCAGGACTGGAACACTAACTCTTGTCGGGATTCCATGCCACCTGCTCCAGCTCTCACCCCCAGGGCCGACTGACAACAACCTTCAGCAATCCCTGTAGATATCGTACAAACGAAAAAGACTGGACCAGAAAATTCCTCTATACTCCTTTCTGTTTTCAGAACTATTGTTTATATAGCTCTCAGGCTTCCAAAACATTTTTTCTTTTTTTAATTATTTTTTAGTTGTAATTGGATCCCTTTATTTTATTTATTGATCTTTATGTGGTGCTGAGGATTAAACCCAGGGCCTCCCATATGCTAGGCGAGTGCTCTACCACTGAGCCACAACCCCAGTCCCCCCCCCCCCCACCGAAACATTTTTTCATATAAATCATCTTTTGGTCCTGAATATCAACAATTCACATTAAGTTGCGAGCCAATGTTGTCTGTGTATTCCTGACTCTAGTGCTTCACTGAGTTTGGCTTTTGTGTCTGTGTTAGCAGCTTTCACCACTTGGCTCATCAGATTCTTCTGAGTTAATAATAAACATACGGGAACTGGGGATGTGGCTCAGTGGTAGAGTGCCTGCCTGGCATGCATGAGGTCCTGGGTTTTATCCCCAGCACTGTGAAAGGAAGGAAGGGAGGGAGGGAGGGAAGAAGAAAGAAAGAAAGAGAGAGAGAGAGAGAAAGGGGGAGGGAGGGAGGGAGGAGAGAGGGAAGGAAGG